ATATATATAGAAAGAGAAAAAAAAAAAAAATATATATATATATATATATATATATAGTATAACAAGTTTGCTGAAATGTTATGTTTATATATGCAAATAGGCATGCTTTCATTAAATATTTTTTAATGAAAATGTATATATATATATATTTTTTACAATGTCCTTATTTATATATTGTATAGGTTGTATTTTATATATTTTTTAAACTGTATTTATCTGTATTATGTCTACTGTTAGTGTTAAGTGTTAACTGTATGCACCAAGGGTCTGAGAGTAACGCAATTTCAATTCTCTGTGTGTATGTGCTGTACATGTGGAAGAATTGACAATAAAGCAGACTTTGACTTGACTTTGAAATATGCAATAATTTCCATACATTTCCAGAACAGCAATCTGAACATTGGATAATACTAGGTTCAAAATGAATTTTATTGGCTTATTAGAGTCAGTGGTTTTTACAGGTTTGTTTTTTTAATCACTCCATAAATAAATAAAAAAAATACTGTCAACAGCCAGAAAAAATGTTTTAGGAATAGAGTATTATGTAAATGAGGCAAATAATATATGAACAAATTCCTCAGTAAAAAAACAAACCTTAATATAGATAGCAATGAACCTGGAATGTTTGGTGTGTAAAAATGCTACTGAAGTGGATATTCCTGGCTGTACATGAGACAAAGCTCATTTTAAGAAAGTTGCCTTTTAAGATATGTATTGTAACTAAAATCTACAGACACAAATAGATAAAGTGTCACTTGGATGTTTTCCTTCCACTAATCTGAAGGAAGACACATTATAAAGATGAAATAGCCCGAAATCTCAAAATTGACCAGTGCATGAAAAAAACAAACAATGGTTTTACCTGTAAAGTCTTGCCTTTATGATTTTGCGTGTTGTGCATTTCAGGGGTTGATCAGTGTATACAGAAGTTTCTGGATGTAGCCAGACAGACTGAATGTTTCTTCCTTCAGAAAAGACTGCAGCTGTCTGTACAGAAACCAGAACAGGTGGAAAAAGAGGTAACCCCATATTTTTGCAGCATTGTTTAAAATCCAACCATACATTATTTAAACCAACACCACTTACATAAACCTTTTAAAACATTTGCAGTTCCATTCTAACATTTGAAACATACAGTATACTGTAGTATAAACTATATATACTGTGATATAATGTGACCCTGGAGCACAAAAGCAGTCTTAAGTCGCTGGGGTATATTTGTAGCAATAGCCAAAAATACATTGTATGGGTCAAAATTATAGATTTTTCTTTTATGCCAAAAATCATTAGGATATTAAGTAAAGATCATGTTCCATGAAGATATTTTGTACATTTCCTACCGTAAATATATAAAAACTTAATTTTTGATTAGTAATATGCATTGCTAAGAACTTAATTTGAACAACTTTAAAGGTGATTTTCTCAATATTTAGATTTTTTTGCACCCTCAGATTCCAGATTTGTCCTATCCTAACAAACCATACATCAATGGAAAGCTTATTTATTCAGCTTTCATATGATGCCTAAATCTCAATTTTGAAAAATTGACACTTAAGACTGGTTTTGTGGTCCAGGGTCACATATATGAAAAAATATATTTATTCAAATATTTATCATTTTTCCTTATATAACACTTTTTCAAGATATTCAAAATATATTTAATATTTTTTTCATGCAGGGCACCTTTGGGGATCTCAGTTGCCAATAGAATCAAATACCTGTCATGTGTTAGTACTGTCCCAGTCTAAGGTGGAAATCTGCAGTGTATTTTGCTTTGTGAAATGCGAAGGTAAAGGCTGATAACAGATTTCTGCTTTAATTGTTTTGGGATTTGAATTATTTATAAGGAAAGCCCCA